TCCATTTGCGAAAAAGGGGGGATCTCCTGACAGACCGCAAGAAGGACACCTCCATGGACATCCTGACAATCCCATTGTCGGGGAGATCTTTGCAATGAACACTTCGAGCAAAGGTCTTGAGAGCCCCAGCGGAATCGATCTGGATCCGACCGACTCGATTCCGGATCCAGCCTCAGACTCGGAATCGGAGGGACTTCCTGAAGGAGTGGGGCTCAGCCCCCCACGGAAGCAAAAGGGTCCATTCTTGGGGCCAAACCAGCACAGCTTAGGGACCCACCAACTCAGACCCACATCGATCACTGGTTCCGGGCCGGGCGAGGCACCTCCCCACGCTGCAAGAGCACGGGCCGCTTCTGGGCGACGTTCAGCTTCGAGGAGTCCTGGAGCAGTGGCGAGGCGAGCACCGCGCGCGGCGCGCGGCGGCTCGCTGTGGGTGGGCCGAGCAGAGCGCGGCGAGGGCCCAACGGAGCGACACCGTTTTTGCACCCTCGCAGATCTGCGGGATCCGAGCAGATCTGTCCACATGCGCATGGCACGGCGGCGCGCATTGGCACGGCACGGTGCGTGTAGCATGGCACGGCGCGGGCACGCATGGCACATCGCAGGGCACGATCGGGTCGTGGGTTTTGGTGCCTTCTTTTCTAGCCAGCCATTCATATGTGAGCAGTCTGTCCGTGCTCCACCCAGGTGGTCGAGCTATATTTTTGCCATCTATCCATCTCACCTAACAATCTATCTTTCTGAATGCACACGTTGTCCCGCTTCAAGGTGTGGAATTGCCTAGTATCGATGTATGCTGGATACTAAGGTGGCTTCCCCAAATGTTGTACCAAAATTTCCATGAGGAAGAAGGAACAGGCCCTCGGGGCCCTCATCCGAATTGCAGAGATAAATATATTACGATTGATCTCAGCCAAAACGCTGTGTGACAGGTCCAAACTCCAACATCAGATGAATCAGATGTGTTGAAGTCCTTGCGGTCTGTGGCCCGTTGCCTTACTGGCTGCACCCAACTGGCTGCCCCCCCACTTCGCCCGCAGTCAACGGACGCCCAGACCCGGTCGGCGGTCCAAGGAGAGGTTGAAGTTGTCGAACGCCTTCGTGGAACCACCGGAGTCCAAGATGAACTCCTCATCGCCGCCCGGAGGGCGCGTTCGCGGCCAGCGGCCAACGCCAGCGCACCGGATAAGGGATGATTTTGGGGATTGTGGTGATCTTTGTAATGATTGGGGGTAGATGAGAGGCTGAGACTGATTAGGCTGGCCAGCTGACCCTTTTAGATTGGTTCACCATGGACTGGATGAATTGACACCATACCGGGGCGTTTTTGGACGCTTGCGTTGAAAAATTTTGCTAACACATACAGTACCTCTTGCACCCACCCTCATCCCCACCTCTGCCTAGAACTCCTCCCTTTTCCTCCCCTCCCATCATCGCCCCCTCTCCATCTCCCTCCTGGGGCAAGTTCCGCCGGCTTTCTGGCTGGGCGCTGAAGGGCAGCACCTCCATGGCACCGTTCTCCCGGGTGACCTCGTCCAGCGCCAGCCACAAGCTCGTCACCCGCGGCGCGGGCGTCAGCGTTCCCGCGTCGAAGGGATCGGTCAGGGGCCAATAGTTGGAATCCTGGGCTCCACGCAACGCGGCTGCCCTGGTTCCCGGCCCCCAAATCGGCACGGTCCATGGTCCCTCCCTCGAAAGCATCGGAACAGGTCCATCTCTCTCCATGTGGCCTTCCGACATAGAGAGAGAGAGAGAGAGAGAAAAAAACCAACGATGGGACGTCTCATGACTCCGCTCGCGGTCGGCCCACTCGGCACCTGGTGCCAGACGATCTCCTTTCCGGTGCCTGGTTCTTTGCACAAGATCCGCGAGGTGAACACACTCACGTCCTGGCACCGTGGACGGAAGAGGCGTGGACGGAATTCGCCGTAGAAGCAGCAGGAACCATGGAGCTCTGTATCAGCCAAAAGAGGTTAAGCGACCTTATAGGACCATACTGAGGTATCTATGGGATAGTTCAAAGGGCTCTTCAACCTTTGCTGGAGGAGTATCCTGTCTGGGTGTCCTGTCTGTAGATCTCTTTTCTAGGGTAGTCCAAAAAGGACACCCATGGGAGTGATGTGGGATGTGCACTTCTTGGTGGCAGTTTTGATGGGCACCCGGTAGGGCAATTAAAAATACAGTGACCGCTTCTTTTGGTCCTTTTCTTCTCAGGCTGAGATCCCTGATCTCATCCAGCCAAGCAGCTCCAATCTTCAGTTCATTGTTTAAAAAATGATTCAAAAAGTGGAAGTGCCGGTTGCTCGCACCTGGCGGCTCACTCCCGCCCATCCACTCATCACATCGCCCATCCGCGGCACTCCTGGCAGCCCAAGATCTGGGCGGCGACTTCCAGCACCGACGGCTCTCGACAAAGCTCCCAGACTTCCTGGCGCGGGCGGTTTCCGCGCGGGACCGGGCGCGAAGAAAGGGCTAGCGCGAAGAAAGGATGGGTCGCTGAGCTTCATCTGGAGCTTCAAAAGAAAAGAGGTTGCACGGTGTACCTCTCAGAAGTCAAAGGTTGACCCCCCGCAAGATTCAGGTGCATGCTGCCTGTGACATAGACTTTACACCTTCGTTCATCCCGGGCCGTGTGTGTGCGTCCCGCGTAAGCAGGCTCACAAGCACCGAATGTTCTTTTCCAGGCCACACGCGCCCCGCAACGCGTACGTGTGTAAAAGGCCTTGCAGGTGAGGTGCAAGTTCAGCAGATCTTCCGGCGCCAAAGTCTGCTCGTCGCCCTTCTCCACCTCCCCAAGGTCCCAAACTCACCGGGGGGGCGCTGGTTGAGCTGGTGCTGGGTCGAAAGTCTCCACGAGAAAAAGAAAGAAACGATGTCGCACACAAGGTCAGCTCTTCCTTTGGAACTCCGAACCCCCCCAACACTTGGCCTGTCCTTTTTGGAACTCCTCCGACCAGTCTCCTTTTTTGAATACATTTCTTGGAAAAACCACCCGTCTCCATGCTCTTTGGACCCTTCTCCGCATCATTCGGTGGTCGTGGTTCGGCATCCCGTTCGGCCGCAGCCCGCCTGTGGCCGTTCGGCCACCAGGGTGGACAGCAGCCGGTCGATCTCCTCCAGGCGCTCAGGACGAAAGAGGCCTCGGACCTCGGACGCGGGTGGTCGAGCCAAGGACTAGGATGTGAGTTGGAAAGCGGGAGAGGATGCTGCGAAGGCTGTGTGGCTCTGGGAGAGGGTAGGAGGGTTGCCAAATGTTGTCAAAGTTGCTGGAAAAATGCAACCATCAGCTTCATACTGTTTCAGCTGCTCAGGCTCCATGGGTGCGGCCCCAGTTCAGCGAAGCACACCGTCAAAACCTCGTGGGCAGAACCTCTGGGCAAATGGTCAGGTTTGGATGAGTCGATCCCACACTCACCCAAGACAAACCGATGACCTTTCACCAACGAAAACGACCACAAGACCACCTGTCAGCCTCCTGAATCCCCGCAAAGAACTGATGAATGGAGAGACCTCTGGTACCAACTCTACTGTCTACTGCCATGAGCAGCAACTCTATGAGCCAAACAGCAGCACACGGCGGTTTGGTCTCCGGGACACTGCCAGACGTCCACATCCCGGCCGTCTTCCGGAAGTTGGTGAAAGCTATGGACATAAACAAGATCCGTAGCGAAACAACGGGAGGAACCACCGCAGAGGGCTTCAAATGTGCTCAATGAAACCGTCTACGAACAACGTCCATTCCATGTTTCCTGACAAGTTCGCTTGAACACCCCCCAAAAGCAGGCAAGCTTGGGTCTCTGGTCCATAGTTTCAAAACACATGCCATCCAAGCTCGTCCGAAAGTCCCGCCGCGGTTCGGAGCCCTCTGGGCTCTCCGGGCTCAACCCGAAAGCGGGGGGTGTTGGGGTGAAGACTCCCGACCGGCGGGGTGAAGACTCCGGAAGCCTCGCCTGTGGGGTGAAGACTCCCGACCTGGGAGCAAGGCGATTCCACGGGCGTTCGACCGCCCCAGAGCTGAACACCAAAGCCCTGGAGCGATGGCCAGCTGAGCTGTGAACAACGCACTGCATCAGAACGGTGGTGTGAATGCTCCCCAGGGGCGGACATATCAAAACCATCAAGTCAGTGCCCCTAGCGAAACCTCGCGGATCTAGCATGGATCTCAAATGACCAACACTTATGGGACTCCAGTGTCATGACCCCAAGAAAATGCCAGTGAATTCCAGTAGATCGCATCTCCCTTTTTGATGGATTGCCATGGCGGAGTCCCTTTGGAACGGATCGCTGTACACTCTAACACATAACCAGGGAAGTGGATGGCAAGTTATATACAGTAGTGAGTCGGAGACGTATCTGTAGCGTCCGATCCCGTTATCCAAAACCCTGAAAGATCACCCAAGAATGCACAACTCCCCATCTCCATCTTTCAGATCTCTCAACTCAATTGCTGCCTCCCATGCAAACCTCCTTCTCTGCTGCCTCTTGGGTTCCTCTTCTCTTCGTTGGCACCCCGGCTGATAAGCAGTGAGCGCGGCATTGGCGCCATTGGCATCCGCGAAGGTGACGAAGCCCCACCTCGGACCGGGGTCGACTTGGTCGACCATCGAAGGACCGAAGGACCCAACAAAACCGGTGTCCACATGACTCCCCTGCAGGTGTCCACATGGAACCCCAATACCGCACCCAGTTGGTCGAAAATCGTCGAGGGTCAATCGGTCAATCGGTCAATTCTCAAGTTCCATGGGATCCTTTGCAAACGACCGGGCCCGGCCTTTGGGCCCGGCCATTCGTCATCGCAGTTGGACTGCCGTTGATCCCATCCCTTCGTCTTCGTCCCAAAACCGTCCGGGTCACCGAAGTCTTCGGTGACCGGGTCACGTCCTCTTACCGGGGCGTTTTCAGATGTGGCCGTGTGCCTCTGTTGAGTCCTTCAACGTGAGTCACAGGTTCCATATTGCTTTGTTGGAGCTCTTGCCAAGGATGGAACATCCTAGACCGTTTCAAGACTCGGATCTGCCAGACTCCCAGACTTCCATCTGAAGTCCCTCCTTTTCTTCGGATCTGCCTATGGGCCCATCCCGCAGGCGGAAGGCGAACGCACAGATCCATCCGGGTTTTCTCCGTTGGAACCCGAGGCACATCCGCCCGTACACTTTGCCATCATCCCGAAGGTAGACATCCTGGACCTGAGTCGACTGGGCACGGCACGAGCTGATGTTGTGCAGCGCAAAAGCAGGTGAACCCTCTCCAGTCCCGTTGAGCCGCCCGGCAGGCCCATACTTCGTGAACTCGTGCCAAATCACGTCCTACCAGGACAAAAAAAGGCACAGGACGTTCACTTGAGTTTCCCGAAAGCAATCCTAAACTTCAACTACATTTCTCACATCCTAGCGACTCCCAATCTTCATATGCGCCTCTTACTCACGTGGCCGCAGTGGTCTGCGGAACGGTTCAGAACATCTCTGACCCACACCGACACCGACGCTCTCTGAGTACATCCCACGTCTCTTGAAAAACGTCCTTGTGGGTGCCCAAGGGGATCTGGCCCACCCAAATCTTGTTGCCCGCATCGTTGGTGTGCGTCGCCATCTTGATCTCCAAACCTGGTCGTCCCGTCCGTCGGACATCGATGGTGGTGGGCGGTTCGGAAGACGGTGGGTGGTTCTTTCGACCGTGCCGAGAGTAGTAAATCCCAGAACAAGGACCCAGCTCTCAAGTGTCCTCTAGACCATCTGAAGCAGTTCAGAATCATTCAGATCAAGCCTGGCAGCCTGGTTCCACCCTGTGAGCACACCATGCATACGACCCTTCGAGCATCACAGCGTGCGCCACAGCTTCCGAATGCGCCTGCGGGAAACGCGCAGCCGCCGCAGCCGCATGCGCCGCAACCGCCACAGCCACAACCACCACAACCACAACCGCCACAGCCGTACCTTGGCTAGAATGGCCAGTTGGCAAAAGGAATTGATGGCAAGATCTTCAATTTCAGTGGGAATCCTCATGTGGGGGATACATGGGGATACGGTGAAACCCCATCCACGGTGCCATGTTGGGTGAACATCAGTGAACATCCTTAGAATAACCTTAAAATAATAGACGACTGTGACTAAAACTGTAGATGTGCTATCTACTGTGCCTGCGGGGGTTCCAATTCGCTCGGACAGCGGCCGAACTTGGCACAGAGCGGCCAAACTGGGCACCTCTGGGGCTCCTGCTGTTGGTCGTATGGACCCTGCTGGTACTGAGACTGCCGTTGTGCCATCTGCGGAAGCGCGGCGGGAAACCAGAAACTGACAAACTTGAGAGGAAATCAAGAGAAAGCCAGGTCGGTCTGGAACCAAAAGAGCTTCCGGCAGACTACACCCGCGAGCATATCCATCCGAGAGAGAGCTCCACTCCACTCCTCCCCAGATCCCGCCTTCCCGCGTGACTGGGAGAAGACCACCTTAATGGGGTTTGTGAGGCCTGCCGGCACGTTCCTGGCAGCGAGCTCCAGAGCCCTGGAGAACACCAGTAGATTGCAGAGTCGCCCGCACCAACAGCAAGCATTACTTCGAAGTCGTCTGCATGAATGTATTATTTGTTTGTTCAGATCTTTTCAGGAAACCTGACGAATCTTGTTGAGAGATTCTACTGCAATGGTTCTAGTCCTCTTGAAGGGACTCTGACCTACGAAAACCAACGGGTTCCAACCTCATCTCACGTCTCACACTGGGAAGCCCCGCCCAGCCCCAAGAGTTTCGGCCTACACCCTTGCCAGCAGAAGAGTTCACGGATGTTCACAGTTCCGCGGATGTTCACAGTTACCGTGGTTCAGCTTCTTCACCATACCCCATCTCCAAGACCCACCACGACATGCCCCCGGCCCGTTGAGGTTCTGCACGATCCACGCAGCCTGTCCCTGAGCAGACGACCACCACCCACCCACGTGAAGCTGGTGTACTACAGCCGACCCAACTAACCCAACCCAGCCCACCACCAGTATTTGCACACATTGTGATGTAGGCTGCGCACAGTACAGACGCGACAAGAACCATAACTGGATAAGATAAGAAACAAAGCTACACTGTATAGTACAGTACAGTGCAACTCAAGTTAGAAGAGGAAGAAAAATGAATTCAACTTATGTAATTCAAACACCTGATTCGAGGCAGTTTCTGGCAACGAAACCGAAATTGAGTGCATTGCTCAAAATAATGACCATTTTGTACCAGCCAACCAGCTAACCAACCAACCAACCTTTCAGTGTTTCCCTCACAAGCACCCAATGCTCAACACGTCATTTTCCATTCCAACACCGTCATGCTCCAGCTGCCAAGCTGCCACGTCGATCATCTCGACCAGCCCGGCGCGGTCTTGCATCCCATTGTTGGGCAGCACCTTGCAGCGGACCACCTCGGTTCTCACCGACGCAGAGGCTCCGCGAAGCACCCGTGCCGCGCCGTTTCACCCACCGATCTCTGCTTCGGTGTCGTCCGCGAGGGCTCCCGGCAGGTGAAGGGGGGGGTGCCATCCACGTAACCACCATGTGTTCGTCGGATGTGGGGGTCTCAGTCCAGTGGTCCAACCTTCCAAAGCTTGGAGGTTCTTGGGTTTTGTGTCGCGAAGGCATGAATGAGACTTAAAAATACTTCAAAAGGACCCGCGGCATGAAAAAAAGCTCGGGCCCCTTGGCAGTGCCGTAGAAGGTGAACAACTCGCGCAGCTGCTTCTCATCAATCTCTGCAGGCCTCGGGGTTCCAGGTTCCAAGCCGAAGAGGTGAGGCTGTCTTGGCAAAACAACGGGAAAGAAAATCGTGGAGGGCCAACCCAAAGGTCATTAGGTGTTTTGCGCTTTGAAGTCACTCCCCTCAAAACACTCCACTCGAAAACGCACGCCCGGCGGAGGTGGTTCGGAGGACACCCACCCCACACCGTCTGACTCCAATTCCATGTAAATGGACTCCCCAAAGAAAGGATAAGAAAGGTGGAGAAGAGCTCCCGGCAGTGAAGTCGAGAAAACACTGTGAAAGTGGATGAAATCTGGGCATTCTGTCAACTACCCTGGGACTTCGACCAACAGGTGCGTAGCACGCTTGAACGTGAGACTGTTGATTCATTGAAACCCCTCTCCCAAAGAGGCTTAAAAGTATCCATACTACTGGGAGCATTTCTCAAGTGTCGACATTCTGTCGCAGGCAAGTCAAGAACTGGGGAAGTGTCTGCGGCATAATCCACACGAACATCTCCAACTGTGCCCTGTGCTCTGTTGGTCCCACAAAGGTGCAAGAGACACCGTTGGCAAAGGACAAGCATGTTTTCCATCTTGTCCTACTTCCTGTGTTGGGTTCACCTGTTTCAGCAAAACGGACAGGTTGAAAAAGTCCAAGCACTTGGCAACGGACTAAAAGACAGATCGATATCAATCCAAAACCCCAGGATAAGTCTTGGATTCCAGTCACCTGCCTTGACACCGTTCTGTTGTGCTGCACCTCTCACACTAGCCAGCCTCGGTGTTGTTGTCGCCCCCCTTCCGCACCCCACCATGCTTTCGCCACAAGACAAGCCCGTGATGAACAGGTTCTCGCACGGATCGTTCCTCGCAGGTGAGTCACGGATCGTGTGTCCGGCGTCAAAGCGTTCCCGTTCCCAAGGAGATGGCGCTTTGCGGGGCCCCTTAAACCGTAAGGGCGTAGGTGAGGCAATCATGGCTGGAAAGCGTAAGGGAAATCCTTCCTGGACAAATCATGAAACCTGCCGTTCTTTCCTTTCAAGGGGCCAATCTGTTTCAACCCATCTTCAACAAACAACGGAACCCTCGCGCAAAACTCCGTCCGCGGAGAAACACCGTGAACAGTTCAGAGAGCGCTGCTCCTGCCAGGTGGTCCAGCCTTGCCATAGCTGGAGGTCGTAGCACCTCACCGCATGTCGCGGCTTGGTCGGCTTGGTCGGGGTTTTGGGGCACCTGGTGGTTTTGGCCAGCCCAAAACGAAGGGATGCCTATCAAGCAGATGATGATAGATGACCAAGCAAAAGCTTCGAGTGCTGATACAGAAGTTGCAATGCGCTTCTACAGTTCTAAAGCTTCTGAGGCTGGGGCCCATGCCCATGGCACCGCCCATTTGCATCCCTTGCATGCCTTGCATGCCCTGCATTCCCTGCATGCAACCCATGTTGTTGCCCATGCAGCCACAGCCATATCCACAGCCGCCACAGCCACATTGGCAACCCATGTTGTTGCCCATGCAGCCACAACCTTGACAGCCGCAGCCTTGACAGCCGCAGCCTTGGCAGCCGCAGCCTTGACAACCGCAGCCTCCGCAACAGCCTTGGCACCCCTGGCACCCCTGGCATCCTTGGCAACCCTGGCAGCCACAGCAGTTTCCACCATAGCCTAGGATCAAGCAACATGGTTTTGTGGGGTGCAGCTAAGTTGACCAACCACTAGGTTTCACAGGTTTCAGCTGATATTCCTTATCCAAGGATCTTTGCGGGGTCTTTCCTGTTTCAAGACCCACACTAACACACTACGGAGACATCGACCAATCTCAAGACCCCGTTGGATCCGGCCACGATTGAAGCAACAAAGAAAACCCACGTAAAATGAGATCTCAAAGGTCCCTGCATAGCCTTGGTTGCAAAAGAACTGCATTGCAGGACAATAAGAGCTGCCCATTGACCAGTGACTCAGGGTCCAGAAGCCACCCACATTTTTTGTCCCGGAACATGACAACTAAGCCGCAAAAACGGGCCCCCTGCTTCTGCACATTGCGCGAAAAATTACGGAAACAAAAAATGAAACGAGGGCGGTAGATGGTACCAATATGTCTGGTTACGACCGGTAACAGGTGGCACTACCCCGCCCTCTACTTATCTTATTGCTGTAGATGAAGAATGGCATTCCATGAGTATATTGGTCACAAAAAATCTGACATCTGACCAGAAGCAGTTGCAGCCTCCGCAGCCACAGCCTCCACAGCAGCCTCCGCACTGCCCACATCCACCGCAGCCAGCGCATCCTTGGCAGCCTCCACATCCTGCGTGAAGGATTGCACTTTGGGTCACAAACCCAAAGGAAGCCTGCTTGGGTTTCTTTCTTCCTAAGACCGCACTTGACACTTGCCGTTGTTGCGTTGGGATATATAATCTGGATCTTGGCTGGTGGAGCTTTCTACACTAACTAAATTGCTCTCACATCAGACAAGCTGCCATGATACATCCAACTACTATTCCAAAGTTTGACATCATTAACTTGCCGTCATTTCAGCCATGATTAGATCTCAATGAGATACTAACTCAATTCTTCTTTTTCCGGGCGCTCCACCCTATCCAAAATCTTAGCACCGTGTCTCGAACCAAGCCACCATGGAAGAAGCCACAACTCTTCAGGCAAGACAGAGTAAGTACCCGCAACTGGCTCTGCTTTGCGGGCTGAAAGTGCTGCAAGCCAAGTCTGGTCTGCGGTACCCCCTCCGAAGGCCCCGCACCACCCATCCCACTTCACAAATGGACATGGCCTCCCTTCTTCACTCACAGACTCTGCTGGATCGGTACCAGATGCCCTTTGCTTCTTGCGAGGACTGTTCGCAAGGAACTGTTGAAGCTCTCAACCTTCAGCTGGGCGCTCCCATGCTGCTTACCAGGTGCTCCACTTTCATTCTCTGCTCAGCCTCCCACCGAGCCCCGCCTGCCCTCTTGGTTGAAAGCGTTGCATACCACTGCCGAGCTTTAGCCCGGACTCGTGAGCCGAGATTTTCCACCAACACTTTTTGTCAGCCTCCCGCGCAAGGGCAAACTAGGGCAATGCCTGCTTCTTCGTGCGCATTCGAAAGCAGCCAGGGCCTGAGACCTGCGGGCACTTAGTGCCAAGAGGGCAGAAAGCCAGGGCGATGTGCTTGAAGTTTTCAAAATCTTCTTACCAGTTGCTGAGTTGTTGGACTGAGCAACTGGAGACTGGAAGAAGTTGTTGAAAGCTTCAAGCACTTCTCTTCGAAGGCATGTCACTGCTGTCACTGCCTGGGTGGTAGGCCAGCAGGGCCTTGTGCCTTGAAGCCTTGAGCTGGTCCACTCCAAGCTGCTCCACGTCCGCGACCCAAAGCCCATTGGTGCTGGCTTTTCACCATCTGGTCCGCATCCATGCTGGAGGAAAAAGGAAGCATGGTTTGAAGGACAAGTCGGACAAGTCTCAGTCTCGAGCAGCAGCGCACATGTTCGCTTTGATGCTGCTTAGCCTTCAAGCAACTGATTGGCAAGATTGACACCGGCAAGACGCAGCCTTCAAGGCCTTCAAGCAACTCTCCTCAAAATTCACTTCACAAACTACCTATGTACCGTGACTCACCACAACTCACATCATCTTTGATATCCAAATGGATTGCCAAGGCCACCTGTCCTTGACAAGCTCCGCATTGCCCACACGCACCGCAGCCGCAGGCATCGCAGCCACCGCACTGTCCACAGCATCCTTCACAAGAACCACTCAAGAAGTGGAAACGCTTTGGCTGTGAAGCAAGAATGGAAGAGGACACATAACCGGCTGGCGTTGCTTTTTTTGCTGGCTCAAGAAGATCCGGGGGGGATGAAACTTCCTGCTGAAGGTTCGGTCTTTGTACAACCCAAGCTGGAAACCCTACCATGCATCAGCATTCAACTGACTCACAGGCCTCCACAGCCACAACCTCCACAGCCATAGCCACACTGCTGGGCACAGCAGCCGCCACAAGGATCTTGCACCACTTGCGCCTGTGGCACCTGTGCCACTTGCGCAACCTGAGGAGGCTGCCACATCTGCGGTGGCGGCTAAGTATGTGATGCAATTAGAACCATCTGAAACCTCTGCGACTCTACGTATCGAGATATGAATTTGTTCTGACCTTTCAAAGATCTAAGAAATCCATCAGAAAGCGCTTCACACAAGGTGAGCCAACCAATCGAATCCTGCGAGCCCTAAAACCAAAGCGATCACACTGCCCTCCCTGCCTGTGGCACCTGTTGCATTGGAGCGCCCACCACCACGCACTTTGTGGCCTCGTAGCTGGTCTTGGCCTGTTCCGAGTGGCGCGTCCCGAAAAGAGCGTCCAAAATCAATTCTCTCAGGCAGGCCCATAATATCACCATGCAAGCTATAGTCGATCATGAGTTCTGAGTTCTGAGGCCTTTTAATGATCCCAGAATACAAGTGAGACTATTCTACCGGCTTCGCTGGGTGGGAAAGGAACAAGACCCAATCCATCCTCCATCCCCACCCCCCAACCACCGCCCAACAGTCGAATGGCGGTCCGCCTCTGACAGGTCCGCCTCCAACTGCACTGCGCAGCCAACGCAGATCTCTTGAGGACCCAAGACCTCCAGTTCGGCGAAAGCCAACGCTTCGGGGGAGGAAACCGCGTCCACCGGAGCGGAAACCGCGTTTCGTCTGGTCTGGGCTCCCCGGGCGCTTCGGCGCACCACAATGTCCAACGCCCCATCCTCGCACAGGTCGTTCGGGCGAACCGTTTGGGGACAGCGAGGTCAGTGCTGTTGATAGAAGAAAATCCCACAACGTCCCACACCACACCTTCTTCGTTTTTCCTGCATTCCTGTGGTGGTTCTGAATGGTGCAGGGTTTCTTCCAGAACTCCACTTTTCGGAGAGACTGCTCAGGAGTGAGGATGCGCAGGTGTCTTTATTGTGTGCGCTGCGGGGCCACCGAAATGATGAAAAAACAGATCGCAAAAAGCGAACATCCCAGCAAGAACCCTGATTCACTTGGATCGTCCCTTCAAACACATGCAACACATGCAACACAGCTCTCTTCAGAGATCATCCGGCAGCAAACGCCCCACATCCATTCAGCACAACACCCGCGTGGTGCGATTGCGATTGATACAGGTGCGATATATACGCCCGACGCAGGGTGCCTTAGAACTGTGAGTCCTCAGGACCTTTTTGTAGGGAATTTGGGAATCTCTGGACTGGACTTGGAACACGTGACACCTCTATGGAAAACAGAGGACTCTGGGATGCTTTGGGGGTGTTTCAAGTTCTCAGCACTTCGACAGGCTCCAGTCCAACCGACATCAACGTCTGTCGTACCACAAGACTGGCTGACCAAGATGGAAGCTGGCTGAAAAATCCGAGTCAATGAACATGGCGGCCCTGTCGCCCTCCAGGCAGTTGATGCAACTTTGACAAGGGCCAAACTTTGCGCAAACCACGGGTCCCGGTTTGCGGATCATAGCACACCGAACCATTGGGTGGATGTTTTGTTTCAGCTGGTTTCTTTTTCAAAAAAATGAAGATCGGATGCGCTGGAGCATCTCCTTCCCCCCCCATCGCTGATCAACCCACCTGGACGCCGTCGGGCCTCACCAAACCTCGGTGGGGCAAGGTGGTGGATCATCTCCAAACGTGGGAACCGGTCATCCACACAAGCCAAATTTAAACTTCAAAAGGGACTGAAAAGTATGACAAGGAAGTTGCATGTGGTTTTGCCAAACGAGAAGAGATGTGGTTTTTTCAGACCCAAGCCTGGGCTTCCACTGCTTTCCACTGACCCGACAGGTCTCTAGTTCGTCCTCCAGGCCCTCTAGTCCTCGACTCTCTTCTGAGCATCCAGCCATAGCCTTGACTCTCATCCCAGCTCTTCACCAAACCGTTGAACCTGCTTTCAGAACATCTGTGCTGTGCACAACATCTGTGAAGGACTCTGGGTGGGGCATCTTTCTGGGCCTTTTTTTCCAAGAAGTCATCTCCAAACCTCGTCTTAGCTGCAGAGTGAGTTGCTTCAAGTCTAAGTTGCCTTCATCATCATTCACCCCAAGGCCAAGCATCCGTGGCCCCCTGCCCTCTGGGGCCCCCAGCGTCTGCATGGTCACCTCGCTTGGATTCCCTCCATTCCACCAGTCCGGAGGACCGGAGGACCGGTGCAAACCAAACCCCGGGACAAGAGAGAGGTGAACATCGACCCCAAGAGAGTGCCTGGGTTTGTATGAATCGACAGTCACTCTGAGAGTTGCATGGCGAGTACTCAGTACTCTTTGAGAATTTCACACCAGCTGCCAACGAAAGAACCAGGATGTTCCTGCATCGTCATGCATCATCCTTGTGTTTGATGAATACTCAAAAACTGAGCACTTTGGACTTTGGAGTTGGATGGGTGTCCCACCAAAATGGGTCAGGACCGATCTTGATGCAAAAAGACAGGGCAGGTCTCAACCTCTTGACCCAGTTCAAACGGGTCAAAAAAAGACCAACAAACTCGGTGCGTCATTGGGTCATTTGGATTCATGTGGTCATCGTGTGTGACGATCCTTCCAATCCTTGAGACCTTCCCAGACCCTGCCTGCCGATGTCAGCCGAACCAGGCACAGCGAGGCGGCGAAATCAGAGCGGCAGAACGGTGTTCCGTGCGGCACTTTTCCTGGGTTCTGTGGGTGTTGGACCTCTTGGGTTCCGAAGGTCGCTGAGCCGACCGGACCAGGCGATCTTGGCCTGAAATCCACCAGGCCTGCCGGGTTGGTTGATGCGAAAGAAGCACTTCCGTGTGCCTGGGTCACTTCCGTGTCTCCTTGTTCAAAGTTAGACCGTGGGAGTGGAGGCAGTTCTCCGAGTCGTGGAGCTTGTTGAGATCCGGAGTCGTGGATGACGGCAGTTCTCTGCTTCTCTCAAACGCTTTGTCATGTCATGTCTGCATCTACATCAGCTAGGCCAGCTACGCACAGGGTTCTCTGGCTTTCCACCCCTTGAGCAAGTGATTCTCGAGGCCGAAGAGATCACAAGAGCAAACTCAGATGCATCTCAGCCTAGCACACAGCCAGCTTCTTCATCACACTGGCACATCTCTTATCTCGAGTCGAAAAAGAAGTATACCAAATTCTGCTTACAGGATCCAAAGACCAGGTCACCAGCGAGTGTTTTGCTTCTCTTTTGAGCCACACTTGATTGATCCACTTGTTCTGTGAACAGACACCACTATATATATATATATCCAGCCGCATCTGGACCCATTTCACCCATGCCTTCAGCTTGAGTAGCGGTAGTGAGCAGCGGCCACTCAGCGGTTACCTGCCCTCTCCGACCAACACACCTCCCCAAAAATCGAGAGCAGCGGGCTGCGCTACCGGAGACTTGTTGGTTCTTGGACCTCGGTGCCAAACGTCAGCAGTCCGTGCTTTCCAACAGGCAAAACATGCAAAAAAAGACAGCCAAAATCAAATCAAAAGGAGTCCATCCTGCATCCTCCCAACCCGCCCCATCCTCCAAACCTCACTCACTCAATCTTCCCCATCAAAGAGTGAGTCAATCGTCTGGGCCACCTCGCTGTGATGGACTCGCGAGAGCTCCTGCTTCGGGTTCCGAGCGGGGGTCGAGAAGGAGGGAACCACTCTGCTTTCGGGTTGACACCCTTTCACAATAGATAAAGTCAAAATGTACCAGGACCCCACAACAAGGGGTGGTTTATGGACACCCCTTGACATCTAAAGGAGCTATCAAATGGAAGCCCCTTAGGGTGTCCTGGTACAGTTTCTATCTATCTATCTATCTATCTATCTATCTATCCATCTATCTATCTATCTATCTATCTATTTGTACAGTATTGGAAACCTCCCGAAAAAGCCAGGGCCAGAGGGCCAGAACAGAAGCACTCTTCCTTTCCATGCAATGGAGATCAAGAAATGGAAACCTCCACAGCTCCCAACACCGCGACAGCGCGAAGAAGAATCCTCCACAGCCTCCTGCGCCGCTTTGGCCGCCTCCGAAACTTCGAAACTCCGAAACTTCGGCAGAACTGTTCTCGATCAACGCACGCACTTTGTCGATGTGCAGCTCAAAGGTGTTGGCAAACATCCCCAGGCAAAAACACGGAGCAGGGGTTTTGTTCAACCTCCTTTCCTACACGATTTCTACCATGACATGCGTCGCATCTGTCCATAATACGTTCCTGCCAAATCGATTTCTATCCGTCCCATGGGCCTCTTGGATCATCCAGGACGGCGGCAAGGCCACCTGGCGCGAACTCCGCGAAGGACCCAGGAGAGACGACGAAGCTCCGCTCGGCGCCGAGCTTCGCGTCGTCGAGCTTCGCTCGCGAAGGACGAAAACCTCCACGGCTGCCCGGCCAGCTGTGGACGGATTTTCGCCCTGCCAGGCTCGGACAACTCCCCACCTGTGTGCCAGCCTTGCGCCCCCTGAGTGTGCTGCCGGCGCAGCAAGATGAATGCGTTGGATGCTCTGGATTCAACCGCCGCAAGTCACACCATTCACCATTCCAATTTCAAAAGAAAATAGGTGAAAAAGTGCCCGTGAGCTAGCTCAACGAGCGAAACCCACATCTAAGTGGAAATCTCACCCTTCCCAGCAGCATGAACAGTCTCTTTCTTTCAACAAACATGCGAGTGGACTTGTTGTTTGTTTTTCAGCGCCATGTCGTCTTGCCCTTGGGTCAAAACCGGGACGCCCTGCTTGACCACTGAAAATGAACAGAATAGACTACCAGACATGGTCAATCTACCAGAGTCAACGGGGCTCCAGGTTTTGACTAAATGAAAGGGACATGGGTGTGTGAGCCGGGTGTACTAGCATGTCAACCGGGTGTATTCGCTGCGACTTTGGACCACAGAGCGCTGGCTGAAGTCTTACACACCCGGCACACCCAGATGTAGACTTCGGCTTAGCCACAAACCACCCGGACTGCTGAGTTGCTGACATGGTCGGACTGCACGGTAGCTGCAGCAGTGGACACTCGATGATGGAACGAAAAACGGAAGACACAACTGTAAGTTGAAAAACATTTGCAAAAGTTTGACTAGTATTGATTGATAAAGATACAGTCAGTGTATATCCTTGACCCATTCCAGTGCTTGCTGTGTCCAGCTGGCAGCTCCCATCCGCGCAATCCCATTAAACACCATGAGGTGTTGGCTGAGCATGGCAGCGGGAACCACTTTCGAGAGCAGCGCCAATCCAAGTCCCGCACATGAAAAACTATATACGTGTACATGTATATATAGGATTATATAGGTAGTGTGTGGCTTTTATCATGAGTGAGTTTTGGGTTGGATTGCATTCCTAACAGTAAGAAGTGGTTAAGACAACCCCTGTAGCGAATGGAAAACCCGATTCCAGGAGTTTCAGGTTTGGCACAGTTGAATGGTTCCTGCAGAGCGTGCAAAAAAAATAGAAGAAAGGAAAAGAGATAGACAGAGAGAGGAAAATAAATAATGTATATCGAGTAATGTAATGTTGTTTTGCAACTCGAAGTCAAACCCAGCATGCGATGACAACCCGCAGTCAAGGCCTAAGATTGAGAACAAAAAACGCCCCAAAGGTCCACACCCTTCTCCTTCTGAACTGGAATTTGCCCGACTCTCAGTCCAAGCGTTCGCTCATTTGCTCAAGCCCCGCACGCTCCGATCCCTTCGGCCCTTGGTGTGGGAGTCCCCAACAAAGGGCCATGGGCCCAACGGACAGACTTGAGACAAAGCCTGAAGGGGTTTTGTTGGGGGTTCTTTGCTGGACGCTTTTTCGGAAGGAGCAGGGTGAAGGCTGACATGGGTCCAACGAAGGCAGCAAGGAGCACCTTTTGAATCGACACAACTGCGTCGACAGCTCATTCTCTCCCATCTGCTTGCAAGGCAAAGTCTTGTCGGCTCTGTCGCCTGCCTGAGCCATCCTTCAGTCATTACCTGGATGTGTCACCAAAGCGAAAATGAACAAAAACAGTACAACGATTTACCTTTGTGCTTAGGTGTACCATCTCATTCTGAGACAGCCCCAAGCTTAGGCACAATCGGAGACATCACCCAACCTGCCAGAATGTCACAATTTGCTCCGTGACATGAGATCACTTACATTTGGCGACCACGATGCAGGCTGCCACCAATCCGGGAGCTTCCTATGAAATATCCTCTTTCACCAGATTTCCCTAAAACACATGGTAGATTGAATGGAGACCAACAAAAGCACGTATCTTGACATCCAGCATATCCTGAACTTCTAGACATCCAACAGCGGCCTGGAAAAACCCTCAGCACCCTCAGTCAAGAAATACTCTTCTAGGAAATCTGGGAAGTCTCGGATTGCCCCGACTCGGATTGACCAACCTGAAAGCCCCGACTCGGCGCACCGCCCTGAAGGGCTCGAAGCCGGCTATGGAATCAGCCGCGGCCGCTCCGTGGGCCAATGCGTGCTGCTGTCCGGGCAGCCACGACCCAAGGCCTCCAGCACCTGGGTGGCGAGGTGCCGGATCAGTGGGGGGAACTCCAGGCCCAAAGCCTCTAATGCTGTAGACTCTTGATGAATAGAGCCTCCATGAGAGCATGTACAATTTAAATTGAGAGGGTTTCTTTACTCAAGATTATTACTCAAGAGTCTACATGATGTGGTCCTCGCAGATTGACCTACATTCTCGGCCCCTCTTCAACCTTTCAATCACCCGTCCAGAACCAAAGGACCGGCACCAGAGCCACTGAACATCAAGTGGCGGATCGAAAATGAGAAAGTAAACAGAGATCTGGAGGAAGGAATCCTGAGATTTGGACCACTGGGCTCCCAATGGTGGACCCCATGATTTCAAGACAACCCACACACCCCTATAGAACTGGTCTTTTCTGGCCACTGTCACCCCACAAGATCCAGAAACGCACACAAAAGAACCTCCTCCACCTTCACCTTCTCCACTTACCTACCTTCTCCCTTCTCCACCGGGCCACCGGTTCACACAGCACCTTCACCTCCTCCCGGTCCATTGCCACGTTGGGCCAGCGATCCCATGGGCGTCGTCGCTCCTCCGGGTTCCAGGCGTCGTCCGCGCGGAAGAGCGTGCTCAGCACGCAGAAGGCGTTCGCGTCGCGCGCGCGCAGGGCTTGGCGGCCCGTGCTGGCGTTCGTGTTGCCCGGCACCTGCGGTGCCAAAGGCGAGTTTGGGGTGAGGTTGGGGCGGAAAGAGGGGGTTGGAGGGGTGAGGGCCAGTTGATTTCCGTACTTGAGAAAAGGATATAGAGGGGCCGATTTGGTGGCAGATACCTATCAGTTGTACATTTGGGGGTATCTCTTCTATCAATCAAGCAACCAACAGTAAAAGGCCATCCATGGCCAGGGTTCGTGTTTCTTTGATCCACCGTCGCTTTTTTGGGGGAAGAAAGTTCCAAAAAGAGTTCTGCTTGTCCAATCTCATGGATGATTGGGGGATGACTCCCAAGTAGATCCAGCTCACACATTTAGCCACCACAGCCCCTGTTGCCCCCGTGAGGGATGACTGTGTTTCTCACCGACTCGAATTCGACCACTCCTCCACGCCCGCTGCCCCCATGCCGCTCCCATCGCTGCGCCTTGTACTCCTCACTCCCATCGCCACTCCCGAACCAGCGATGCATGGCCATGGCCAGGTATTCATCTGCCTGTAGGGTGGGCACCGGCTCACCATCCACCTCCGACCCTGAGTCGTCCGTGGTATAGAGCTGCTGTTCCATGGCCTGCTGGTACGCCTTGTGGTACATGCAAACTCTCCTGGAACGATGGGTCTCTACGCAGAGGGAGGGACTACAGGAACTGGCATGCCGCTGAATGAAGGGGGCGGTAAGGAGGGCGGCGCGAAGAAAGTGGAGAGTGCGATTCTAGAAGTGTGATCCCGGACAGAACCTCCTAGACGATCCAACCAAAAAGGATTTCCTGTCGTTTTCTTTGATGGATCTCTTCTAGCAAAGGATAGTAGTTTTGGATTCTCTGGCTCTTCCAAACTGCTTGCTGACCACAGCTGTCCAAGCTGTGATGTATCAGCTAAGCTCAGCGCTTAGCTGCAGCAGCTCAGCTCGCTCCTGGGGGAGAGTGCACAGTACTGGATGGTGTGCAGCATCTCCTCCAAGACCGTCACTTGGCTCTCGCCCTCATAGACCCCGGTCGACGGGAACCAAGGGGCACCGCCGCCGAGACCCGTCACAAAGCGGCGGCTCACCTGAGCACCGGTGGCACCGACTCGGTCGGCCGATTCCGCGGACATGTCTGGTGGGGAACCTCTGACAGGTGGGACTTGGATCACTTACCACAACAAGAGATAGAAGACATCACCTTCACTGCTGCAATGCCTCAACTCCACACCCTAGAAAAAGGACAAAGATCAGCTTCCAAGATCCAGAGGCGCAGGACATGGACACGCTTCACTCTTGGAGAAGATGGGGAGTATTACCCTCTGACTGACTCACTAACATGGAAGTGGATTTCACCCCTCGTGGGTGGAGGAAAGGAGTCTTCCGAAATCGGGACCATGCCATCCACTTCCCATCCACGTAACCATGTTAGTAGGTCACAGGGTGCGTGGCATCGCATCCACAAACCGCATAAGCGCGCCTTCCATCACCGACACCTGCCCAGCCTCTGGATGCTTCAGCCACGGATCCTCACCATGCGACTCTTCCCCAGCAATGAGGAACCGAACGCCCACATGCGACAAGTTCGCCAGGACCTCCTGCGAGAGAGTTCTTACTCACTGCCAGGCGCACAAAAGGGTCACCAAAGAAGGATTGGAGAGGGGCTGAACTTGCACCCAAAGTAATATAGACTCCTGATTGATAAACCGCAAGGGTTATCAATCAGGAGTCTACATTATTTGTCTTGTTCTTCGCTTGAACCATTCTCCCAGCTTTTGGCCATCATTGCTGCCGACATTGGCCATCAAAGCAGATCTTGGCCGAAAACATTCCAACGTGAGATACTGGGAGAAGGTGTGAAGCCGCTGAAAAAAAGCCACACTGTTTGCGGCGGCAGCACGCCGCTGGGCGCCGCTAGCGCGCCAACGGCATGCACCATGGTGTGGGGTGGCGGACTGGACTCTAGACTCTAAACGCCCTAGACCACTCCAGCCAAGGAACATCATTCAGATGCACGGTCGATCCCCCGTGGAGTCATGAATTTGTCCATGGTCTGGGGACATTACTGGGGGGGGTTCTGATGGCTTTTTTTTCCGCATGGAATCCAGGACATCAGACATTCGAGCACGAGAAATGGCAGACCCTGCCATTCAAGAAACACGGCCCGACACTTCGTAGGATGTTGGTTCGGCTTCCGGAAGAAATCCACTTAGAGCATTTGAGGGACCAGACATGCCACGCGTTTGAGACCTTGTGCCTGATCTTACGAATCCGGCCCTCAACCTGGGCGATGGAGGGCCCGAGGATTGAAGAAGTGGGACTGTAGTAACTTAGTTATTATACAGATCCGCTTCTCGGAGGTGTGAAGGAAGGGACACCATGAATGTTCGGCTGGAAAGGACTGTGTGTCCGAACCGGGCTGACCACCGGGCTGAAGGAAGGTGCCAAAATCTTCTCACCGTCAGAGGGGCCAAACACATCTGAAGATGTTCAAAGCCTCTTCCAACCAAAGCAACCATCTCCTGGTCCACCAGCCTCAATAACATGTGCTCCAGTGTGCTCGACACCGTCTCAAGGTACTCGCGATGCACATCAGCACCAGCAAGGATGGGAACCCCCAGTGAAGTGCCATCATGGTGGTGCACCAGGAAGTACTGGGAGTAGAAACCTGACGAGGTCCGTGGACAGTGGTGAGGTCGACCGGCCGGGCGCCGGCCGCCAAGTCGGTGTCCCCGGAACGAGCTACCGCCGTGACCCCACCTTTCCTGGAGTCTATCATCGACGAGCTCCTTGTCTACAGTCTACAAGAACAAGAATATCAAGAAGAAGGGCCTCGACAGTTACAAGACTCACCAAAAGATACTATTAACTATATATTCATAATTGACAAAAAAAAACAAGAATAGGCATCTGCACACTGAACCCTCCCACCTTGGCCAACCTCCTGAGCCCAGGTCCTCAACTCCGGCTCCTCTCGGGGGTCCACCACGGCACCGAGTCCCACCACAGGAGGCGGCGCCATGGGCCGCGCGCCCTGCGGCAGCCGCACGTCGCAGCTGAGACCCTGGCGCTCCCAGCGCTGCGCCACGGGGGGCGGCGCCAGGAAGCCTCCCGGCAGCGGAGAAGCGACGGGGAAGGCCGGGGGTTTCTTCGAAGCGACCGTTTTGGTGTATTTAAAGGTTGGTGAAGTGAGGAACACTGTGAAGGGATGGATCTCCATCTATCATTATTTAAAACACGAGCTGGTAGGTTCACCTTCTCAGATGTGGGAAAACTTAAGTCCCCAGGTCGCCACGTCGGTCGGCTCGGTCCGTTGTTCGCACCTGTAGGCTCGCACACACGAAGGCCCCGATTCAGTGCCAGGCAGCTGCAGCTGAGCCCAGAAGGGCAGTGTTCCACGCACACGGAGCCCTGCTGGGCCTGTCGGGAACAGCAGGGCTAACCTATTCAACTGAAGATCTATCTCCTGCCATCCACCAAAATTACGAGCAGAGAGGGTGTGTTCTGGATTCCGATCATTCCAGACACAAACCAACATCAAATTGGTTCCAAGTGATCCCAAAAATATGTGGGAAACCCTTGGAACTGTGAGTTCAACAAAAGACAGATGTCAGAAGTGGCCAAGATTGAGTGCGATGGGCCCTACCTGTCACATTCAAAACTGCTCACATTTCCTCAGCTAACTCTTGATTCTATTCAGGCAAAGCACCCAATTGAAATCACACCGTGTGTGCGTGTGTGCAAATACCTTTTCCCACTTCCCACATGCCAACTTATATAATATGTATACGTGTCAACAATTCAATATCTCGCACATGGCATGCCCGCTGTGTCGTACTTGCTCCACATGACTCCGTCATGGTCAAAAAGACTGTAAGTTAACACTTGCCAATTAGACACTAACTACCCTCTAGTTGATCCGGATTGAAATGCCGGGAAATGAGGCGATCGGCATCCAAAATCTCGGAGGTGGGATGGTCCCAGCAGCATAACTGCAAATCCAAAATCCTAGGTGAGGTCACTTGGAAAAACAAAAATGCACCTGAAGACGCAAGAGTTGTGCCACGGGCAGCAGGCACAAGTGCAAGAAGCTGCGCATCTCCACAGCTGCGGTACCGACTGCAGGTAGAGCCGGGTTTGCTACATGATTATATAAAGCAGTAAAAAGGCGTGAAGTTGCTGATTGAGCCAGATCGCACCAAGTAATATTTATACATAGTGGAGAATCACTTGGACAAAAGCGACACGTGGACCGAAGCGAGAACCTGCGATGAGGTCGTTAACGTTCCTTAAGCCCTTCACAAAAACACATTAGCTGGGGCGCACGAGGACCCGAGTCACACTCGCACCTAGGGTGCCCGAGGTCGTCAATCACACTCTCCCCCACGGTGGCACGAATGCGGATCGAAGTGCATGCAGCCTAGGGTGGATGAAGGCAGGGGAATCAAATATATTTTCGAAACACATGTCATACATACAAAATAAATCACCCCTGATGTACAATACAGTGATCCGGAATGCGACCTTTTGTTCACAACGTTCACAATTATTACATAGTTCTCAAACTCAACCTGCTTACGAACGGATCGCAAATTTAAACCCTTCACAAAAGCACACTGCCGCTCAAAGCAGGGACGCTCCTCTTTCCAGCTTGGGTGCACGAGGTCCCTGAGTCATCAACTCCCCCTTTAGAGAGAATCAAG